GGGGAAGGGAAAGTGCTTCAGAGGGTCTACACAGAGGCATTAATTGTGGTTTTCTTTTCTGGCTTAAGAAAATAATGAATATTTTCTATTCTATTCTTTTCGCCTGTCTCTATTTCCTACTTTTCAGCAACAAATACAAATTACTCTTATGATAAGAAAAAAAAAGTTCTTAAAACATGAAAAAGGAAAAAGGTTACTTTTAAATGGAAGGGGAAAACTTTCTGTGGCTTCCTGTCACAAAAGGGAAAAAATAAAAAAAACCCTCTATTCTTTCACTTGGGAAACAAGGCCTTCAGGAGCGCATGCTGCCCCTTGGCGGGCTCAGGATTTTTCCCTCAAGCCAGACCAGGAAGAGCTTCCGTCTTCAAGGAGCTGACCGCTTGGAAGAAGACATGTGCTGGCTGAAAGAATGAGAGAAAGAAAGCAGGAGCCAGCCCTGCCTCCACCCACTGACTCGAGAGGGTAAGAACCCCCCCATACCCGACCAAAGACCTCCGGTGTCGCCAACACAGAATTTGTTTCTCGTGAAAATTCACAGTGTACATGATGCATTTTGCAAAAGCGGAATAAGGGTGTAAACTAGTACCAAAGCCAGCCCCCGAATCGGAACCCTGGAAACCCAGAGCTGCACAGGATACAGCTGGAAAACTATGACCGAGATCATCTGGATGGTCAGTCTCCTTCTTATTAATAATTAGAACCAGCCCAGTTACCCATTTTAGCCTTTTATCCTTTTTAAGCTTAGTGTTATGGAGTGTTTTCCTCAAATTTATTTTCATCCAAACACAGCTGGCACTCTAAAACCAACACAGAGTCTCTGAAGTCCTGCCAGCTTTCTGGTCAACCTCCTCCCTCCTTTTCCTGCAGGTACCACTGTAGCCACCCTACTTTCCAGCCCAGGACAGTCCCTGGTTGCATCTCTTGTCCTGGTATAATTAATAATAGACTCCTTTCACTCTCATCAGTGTACCCCATTTAGGCCATCAATTGTAGGATAACCCAATATATTAGCAATTTCTTACCCTTATTTGTCAGAACTTCCATTTTGCTAATTTATGCTGGACTGTTGTTTTGATTATCACATAACTTATTATGGTCTCAGCAGGGACCCTCAGATAGAGCCAGATCTTTGCCACAGATGATTCTGTTTAGTTAGTGAGTGCTTCTCATACCTTCCAATCCAGTCCACGCCACATCCATCGTCTGACTGGCCATCACGGATTGAACTATGTCCCCCCTTTAAAAAGATACCGATGGAGCAAACTTGTCTGGAAAGTGTGGTTTGGACACTTGTGGATGCAGCTGCCCCAGGGATGCTGGAGAAGCCAGCCAGCCTGGTGGAGGTGAAAAGGCCCGGAGAGGAAGGATCAAAATATGGGAGAAGAGTCAGCAAGCGGCAGAAGGGGAAAGGGGGTGAAGGAGTGGGGAGAAGTGGGGGGCAGAGGCTAGCAGGGAGCACCAAGAAAGATGCAGCATCCTCCAAGTGATGTGTCCTGTGACAGCCACGTCTTTGTCACGCTGATCTCTTTGTATGTGTATTTTTTAAACTGAAGTATAGTTGATTTACAATGTTATGTTAGTTTCTGGTGTACAGCAAAGTGATTCAGTTACACATATACACAGTCTTTTTCAGATTCTTTTCCGTTATAGGTTATTTCAAGATATCGAATAGAGTTCCCTGTGCCCTGCTGTAGGTCCTTGTTTCTTATGTTTCCTAATGAAAGATCATTACATATTGTTAAATTTTTAATTGTGATACTTAGGAGTTAAGGACCCCCTGAATCCACAAAGCAAAGTGTACACCCTGCAAATAACTCACTTGTCGGCTTATTCAGTGGGTTCACAGTGGGGTCACGGCGGATGGAGGGGAGCAGGAAGGGACAGGGAACCCGGAGCACAGGAGTAGCCTCGGGAAATGTGGGGAGGAAGAAGAGGCCGTCTGGCAACGGCTTCAGGAAGCGAGGAGGAAAGGGCTCCGTGAAACAAGCCAGGTGTTCGGACCTCAGGAGTCACATCACCCGACGCCACTGGCTTGGTTTGTGCGTCTTGCATCCACTGAGACCCATTTCACTGCACTGCACAGGGTCTCTACAGATTTGTCTGAGACCCATGTCCGAGGGCCTGTTGTCACTGGTGACCAGTCTCACTCCTACCGGCCCTCATGCCTTCTCTCCTTAAAACGCTGTTGACATGCCTCCATATCAAGGGGATTTCTCTCTCTCTTTTTATCTCTTCTCCCTCTCATCCTTCCTAACCCCCTCTCACCAAAAATCTTCTATTAAAGTCCAGCAAGAGTATAGGCGCTGGTAGAAATCAAATTCCCATGGTGCCAAACGTCAAGCTTCCCTCCACAGAATAATCCTGAAGATGATAATCCTGTTTCTGAACAATCTTGCTTGCTTGCTTGATTTAAAGCTCTCTTCTAAGGCTCCCTGTGTATTTTAGGGGTGGAGGTCCTTGACAGAGAATCTGTGGTTCCAAGAAAGTGAGAACAAATGGCCGCAGCAGAGGAAGAAGTCGGGCCAATCTCACTGCTCTCAGTAAACACAAGGAAATGGAAAATTTCTAAGGCCACGGATCGTGGAGACAGAGGTCTTTGTGGACGGCAAAGACCGGAGGGACTCAAACAAGAGTGGCAGACAGCTCAAACCGAACCTTATCTCTTGCACTTAAAAATACAGGGCAAAACAGGGCAACCGAAGCCTAGATTTACCTGCGGATTATGTAATACTTTTGTTATATGTTAATCTTCCTTATCACATGTTGTTTATGTCTGTGTTAAAAAGTATCTTTTCATTTCTTAAATAGCACCTGATAAGATGCTTCTTGGCTATCCATTTACCCAGTGTTTTGTGGAGAAGCCAAACTGAAATGGAGACTTTCCAGCTCAACAACCCCGAAATAGTTAATCATTATTAGTTTTAGGGTAAGGGTCCAGGGACCAGAATGCCTCTTCCTAGTCCCGTTTCGCCATGCGTCATCTGACCCCCTTGTGGCCTTGGCTGGGTGTGCTCCCCCTGCTGCCCCGGCCTCAGGGAGGGGTGGGAGATCTTGGACACTACGAGGACCTCCCCTCCAGGGAACAGGGTTTCCGGGAATGTGCTCCCGGCCTGCTAATACCCTGCAGCCTCGAGGCAGTTTTGAAGAGGAACCAGCCCCGTCAGGAGCATTTGCTGCAAGAGATGCTGGGTTATCTGCTGATCCTGGTCTGTGGGAAAGAAGCCTTAACTTCAGAGACCTCGTCACGGCTTCTTGTAGGACAGAGCCCTCGTCACAGCTTTCCAGTAGGACAGAGCCCTCCAGTGACCCAGTGAACCAGTGTCTCCTTACTGCCCCAACCACTGTCTGACCGCCCGATAATAAACCATGTGGCTTCTCTCCCTCGGGCACCTCAAGGTTCCAAGTAAGACACGAGCAGCGATGTGAAGCTGTCCGTGAGCGAGTCCATTTCTAGTGGGGTCTGAGTAAAACTCTTTCAATGACTAGCAGAAAGCAACAAGCTTTAGAAAAACAGAGCAAAACAAATCCAAAACGTGACCCGTAAAGAGCCTAAGAAGAGAAACTGGGCCATTAAGAGGGACAGGGTTATCTCTGAGTTCCTGCCTCCACAATTCCTTATGTACCCAGCACCTCTCCCCTATAAGAATAACAGGCTTGTTTTATTTTAATAAACGTTTTTATTCTAGAATGGTTTTAGATTTTCCGAAGAGTTGCAAGGACAACACACAGAGCCCCAGGACACCCCTCACTTAGTCTCCCCTGGGCTAACATAACATACGTAACAGCATATATGTTACCACCACACACTTGTCAAAACTAAAAACCAACACTGGTAAATTACTATGAACTAAACTCCAGACTTTATTTGGACTTTATTTGTAGGTTTTCCCACAAACCTCCTGTTCTCTTCCCGGATCCCACCCAGGGCACCACGGTCATATGTCCTCAGCCATCAAATGTCCTTAGTCTCCCTGGTCTGTGAGAGTTGCTCCCTCTTTCCTCGGTTCCATACCGCACAGTTTTGAGGGGCATTTTGTAGATACCGGTTATTTTGCAGAATGTCCCTCAGTGTGGTTTTGTCTGATGTTTTTCTCATGATTAGATTGAGATTATGGGTTTGGGGCAAATGACCGCAGAGGGCTCCGTGCTGTCTACGGGACTTCTCGCTGGTGAGGTTCACTAGATCACCGGCATAACAGAGTGTCTGCTCGGTTTTTCTATCGCCACGTTATTGTTTGTCCCTTTCCCGACTCTACTCTTTGAAGGCAAATCTAAGTCCAACCCACGTTCAAGGGGGAAGGGAGGTGGTACACAGGGACCCAGCTCTGCCCCTTGAATGCGGGAGCAACACTATATATTATTCAGAATTCTTCTGTAAGGAAGATCTGTCACTCCTCTCTCCTCATTGACTTATTTATTCAGTCACATATCAATAAGGTCTTAAGTGGACTCATAAGAACTTAGAGTTTGGATTATAACCCAGTGCTCTAGCATTGATTTTGTTGCTCCAATTGTTCCAGCCACCAACTCTGCTCACCCTGCTGGCTCCAAGGGCTCCTCCTCCAACCCCTTAAGAGACCTGACCTAGAGAGGCTACCTCTCCGCTCTCTCGGCACCGCTCCACTCACCTGGCCCAACCCTGGCTCCCACTCTAGAGCTGAGCTTGGGGTTAACCACTGGGCACCCAGTCCCCTCCAAGATCATCTCGCTCCCCTCCCACCCGGCGTCATCACCAGCCAAGGGGCAACACCAGGACTGAACTCAGAAGCCAGAAGTGAGCTGACATTCGGGCGCAAAGGCCATGGACGTGTGCCAGGTGGGGTGCTGCGCGTGGCCCTCCTCGGGGTGCCAGATGCCGTGAGGCGTGTCCTGGGAGAGGAACTGTCTGCCCACAGGAGCTGCCGCCAGTGTGTTCTTGTGAAAGCACAATAACCTGCCATTTTTTCCCTCACTCTGATCAAATTTCCAGTTTTGAAACCAAGTTCAGATTTCCTTTCCACGTGTGCCATGCGTCCTTAACGTTTCATGTTTCTTTCCTATTTTGAGTCTAGAGGAAGTCCACGGTTTGAAAATGGAAACGAGACTTGGCTGCTTCACCTGCACCCACTTTTAGCATCAAACCATGGCAACGTCACACACACAGTTCATCACCAGTGTTCAGAGTGGATTCACGCCGCCAGACGCTGCTTTCAGTCTGCTTATTTATAACCAAGGTGAATTTCTCCATCAAATTTGACTTTACATTTTTTTCATATGACAATGAAATTCTAAGTTGTACTGAAAACCAGAGAGGGCAATGACGGTTTAAGACATGTCCTGGTCTTGAATTTTACAAGCACTAAAAATTTCAGCATGGCCCCTGTCAGGAGCCATGAAAGAAGCCAGGAACAACGTGTGTTTCCACACCATCTGCGGAGGGACAGGCAAGAGGGGACACTGTGTTTATGTGTGTCTTCCAGGATGAATGGGACCCCTTCTCTTGCCATGAAAGTGCCACTGCGTTCATGGAAGATTCCAGAGAGTCTCCCTGACAGTGAGAAACAGCTGTTCCTAATAGCACAGAGTTACAAACCCTACAGGCAAAACTGAGGCTCCTCTTGGTGGTGTCAGCCTGAGAAACAGACTTCCAAGGCTGAGATTCTGCCTTCCTCAGCCCTGCGTGTCCCTCCAAACAGGCACGTTCCTTTAAAATCTGCTTTGCTTCCTTTTGCTTGAAATTATCCCTCCAAAAGAAGATGTGGTCACACATTTGTGATCTTACCAAATCTGCCCTATACCAGGGCTGTACATTCAATTTCTTTATTTTGAATAGGAAGAACGGCTGAAATGACTTCCATCAGTGCTGGTCTGGGAAGCTTTTAGATGTCACAGAGGTTACCAGATAGGAATAAAATAAAAGCAAGACTAATTAAAGAGAAGGACATTTATCACAGATCTCATAATTACTCGTAGGTGTGTGGCTTCACTACTGAAGGGGCTGTGTTACTATAAAATAAACTTTGCAAAAGTTTCTTGTAAAAGCAATATACTCAGTAGTCGTGTGATGAAGATTGATCAATGTGGTTTTCCAGAGGTGGAGGTCGTGGGGTGGGGGGGACTGGGGAAAGGTGGTCAAAAGGTACAAACTTCCAGTTATAAGGTAAGTTCTGGGGATGTAAGGTACAGCACGGTGACCCGAGTTAATAATACTGTATTGTGTATTTGAAAGCTGCTAAGAGAGTAGATTTCAAAAGTTCTCATCATAAGAAAAAAATCTAACTCTGTATGGTAATGGATGTTAACTAGATATCGTGGTTATCTCTTTGCAGCATGTATATCAGATCATTAAGTTATACACCTGAACCTCATATGTTATATGTGAATTACATCTCAATAAAACTGGAGGGGAGATAAAACTAGGGGGAAAAAAGATTGATTAAATTAGGTGTTTATAGCTTGATACAACTTCCAGTGATTCTACTTTTATTAAAGTCCTCCATCATAAATTAGGAATGAGGATTACTTGCTCTGGAAAATGCATCAGGCTCCAAAAGTGGCCCTAGTTTTAATAAAACTGACACAAAGGGAGACCAGGAGAAGCAGTATTTTAAAACTAATATGTAAGTAAGATGTGATTTTATATATATATCTACAGAACTAAATCAGCTAACAGTGATTTTGCAGTGGTTACAATTAGTACAAGTAGAAAATTGGGCCCTTTAAGTTTATATTCCAGGAAGCCTATATAGTCAAGGTGGCCAAACGCTTTTCCTGGATCTTGGCGAGGTAGAGGAGGGCCGGCACCATACATTCGAGGTTCATGTATGTCGGGTACGAACTGATTTCCAAGGAGAATTGGTAAGTCATCAAAATAGTCAGCTCTGGCCGCGATGTGGAGACCTGCTCTTCAGGGTCAGGAGAAGGTCTCGGGGTCAGTTAGGGGTAAGATCTGGCCCAGGTCCAAGAGGATGACAGAGTATGGGGGGGGAGCTCAGGGCCACATGCTGGATTCGGGGCCCAGCGTGTTTACTGATGGATTAAATGCATGGAACAGGAACATGGTGAAACCACACAGGACTTCAGTCTTCTCACCTGAACTCCACAAAGTCCTTAAAAGCACATTTTTGAAGACCATCTAATGGCCTGGGATGCTTGACATATTAAGACAGGTTGGAAAACTTTTCTGCAAATGGACCCATAATAAGTATTACCAACTTTGTAGGGCACATGGTCTCTGTCACAGCTAATCAACCCCACTGCTGCCGCCCAGACAACACTACACGAATGAATGCGGGCCAACCTCTCTGTATCTTGTGCAGACACACACACACAGACCACAGGCGGTAAACATGTGCTGCCTGCAACTGATTAAAGAAAAGTATCTGGAAGAAACAGTGGAGCCCCATATTAACAGTGATTATCTCTATGGTCCTTGTTTTCTTTTGTGTGCTTTAAGTATTTTCAAAAATTTCCCCCTAAATGTGTTCCTTTTGTAATCAGATAAAATCTACCAAAAAAAAAAAAGTGTGGAATTCTACCTTTAGAAATCTACAAATGAAAACAAAGTTGGGATTCTGTGTTTTGGTGTCTTGATTATCCTTTTGAATGGAAATTATCTGCTACAAAAATACTTAAGGAAAAAGGTCATCAGTAAATAAATTCTAAATCGGTGGTTGACAAGAAAATAAGCTGTCATGCTTCCTAGAACTGGAGAGTCTGTGTGAGGAATGGAGAAGGCTGTTCTTTTTTTTATTGCACTGGCTGAGTTTCTGGAAAAGATTGTATCTTGAATTAGCAGCTTGACTGTTTGCTATCCGGATAAACACTGTGTTGCTATGACTGAATTCGTCCCGCCATGTGGGTCACCCTGTCATATAATTAGCCTCTTACCGTATCAGGTGCAAATCAAACCAGCAGCAGTCACTGTTAATTCAATAATTTAACAAACCAGAGACACTCTTTTCATGGTGGATCCACATCTGATTTGATAGCATCGCCGTCCCACCGAAGATGCCGGGAGCACTGTTTGGTGGCGTTACTCAACAGCAAGCGGAAACTTCGAGTACATCGAACATCTTAAGGAATTCCCAGCTATCTCAGCTACTCTTTTTTATGTCGTTGATTGCATCACTGTGCATCTTGTCAGTCCACAAGCCGTGGAACTGGGTAGAGGGTGAGATTTAACCACCGAGTATCCTTAAGTTCATGGAGACCATCCTCAAGCTCTCCCGTTCACATTATCCTGCACATGGTCGGGCTCATTGTCTCTGATCATCAGATACTGTTCTCCTTGCATGGAGCTCCTCTTCCCCTCTGCTCACTCCTCCTTTTCCTCCTTTCCAGATGTTGATCCAAACAAACATGTTGCAGCTCGTCTCCATCTCACGTCCACTTTCAGGAAACCCACCCTGGCTGCCATCCTCTCCTCTGTTGCCAAATGTTATTCACTTCTCAATGCGATTGTAACTCCTGGCCTAAGCAATAAATCACTAATGGGCCGCCTCTGGTGTCCTGTCCTCTCACTGCTGGCACACGGCCTGGGCTCCCAGGGGCAGTTCTGCCGAGTGACCACAGCAGAGAGCCTGCATGGGTTCTGATACTGGCTCGACCCGCCAGCTGTGTGAGCTCGGGCAAGTTACTTAATCTCTCTGTGCCTGTTTCCTCGTCTGTGAAATGGGGATCATAACAGTACTTCATAACAGGTGCTGTGAAGACTTAACGCATAAGCAAATGTTGTAAAGTGGATCAGATCAAGTGTATAAGATGAAATAAGAATGTTGTCATGTGCAAAACCCTGAGAACAGGGCAAGCATTTTGACTGTCCTACTTCTGTGTTTGTTTAAAAAAAAAAATACAAGAGACAGAGATTCAATCTTACCTTTTCCACGGTGCTCTCTCCAATCACAGTGATCTCTCCTTTCTCTGTCAGCAGAATACCAGTGTAAGGAATACATGAAACTAAATTTTTTAGATTTCCTACTCTTTCATTTTTGAATGAAAATGAAACCGCTGGCCAGTTCACCTCTTGAAGAAAGATAAAAATAACTGCACCAAGGAGTGCTTACTAGGTACCCAGTGCTCTATATTAGTTATTTCATATAATCCTTGAAACTTCTTGGGGAAGGTGTTGTTGAACCCCTTTCGCAGATGAAGAGACTGAGGTTGAGAGGCAAAGCATCTTGCCCAAGGCCATGGGGCTGGCGAACAGCTGAGCCAGGGCTACGTTTTTCTTCTGTTGACTCACCCACTGCTCAGAGCATAGTTCTAGACTTGTCATACGTGCTTGTTAATTTCATAGTTTGTTAAATGGCTGATTCATTTAAAAACAGTTCGTGGACAGCAACTGCAGGCCAGACATCAACAGGAGGGCGAAGATTAGATATGCTCTCTGTTATCACCAAGGTCACGTCTGGAGGAGAACACAGACGACTCAACAAGCAGTTACCGGGCAGTGTGAGAGGCGCGGTGATGACAGGGGAAAGTACCAGAGATACGAGAGACCCACCATGAGCACGGGAGGCATGCGTGGGGTCTGCGGCCAGCAGACAGGGCTTCCCCGGGAAGAAATGTTTCAGTGATGTTAAAGGCCTGGCCGGGGTTGGGAGCAGGGAGAACTGCGGGTGGAAGCAAGACGACCCCTGGTGCTGTGGCTGGGGACTGGGAAGGGGGCGTGGTGAGAGAGAGCTGCAGGGGGGATACGCGGCCCCCCAAGCATTAAGCAGGATTTCTTTTAACAAATTGATGCGGCAGACAGCTCTGAACCAGGCTTCCCTTTACAGTGTGTGCAGCGAGCAAACCGACTGGGAAGGTTTCCGCGTGCTCCTCCTCCAATTGCAGGGTTCCTTACACCAGAGGAAGCGGCATCCTGAGCACAGCATCAGGGGGCCGTCGGCCCTTCCGGGGCCCTGCTGCCCTGTGAAGGATGCTGGGATGGAGGGAATGGACCATGTCCTCCTCGGCCTTGGAAACCTTCTTTTAAAAGCAGACACAGGAAGGCAGACCCTGAGACCAGGCAGTGCGTCCTGATACCCAGTGGAGACCTGGTGACGCTGAATGTCAGTAGCGTGTCTGTCACTCAGGTCTGTGGGTATCAGGCTGCTGATGCGGTTTTCCAGAACATCAGGGGATACATCTCAGTGGACTCATTAGTGTTCCAAAGGTTTTCCTTTTTGTTTTATTTCCCCTTTTCGTTTCCTTGTGCTGGGCCTCCATGCAGACAACAAAAGGGAAAGATGTAGGCAATTACCTAGATGCCGTTTTTAACATTTTTGCAAAGTGCACCTGGCTCATCTACATATTTCTGAAGAAACGTTTACAAATCCCCTGAACAAGAAGACAGAGGCATGAACTCTCTGCATGAAGGTACAAGGCAGAAAATTCTCCTCCAGGGGAAAGTCCTTCAAAAGGTCTGGGCAGCGAAAAAGAATGACACATCTTCTCCACACCCACTGGCTGGTTCACAGCAATGAACGCTTTCCCAACAACAGTAACAACCTCCAAGCATCAGGGTGTGTTCCGAGTAGCTGAGAACTTGATTACGTGTGAGAGCCGTGTTGTCTACACATGTTCTAAGACACGTGATACAAGGTACCCACTGGCCTGACGCCCTGGGAGGCGATGCTCCCTGAGGTCGTCCGGTGACCTGCACACCTGCCCCGCCCGCCTGAACGCGCGGACGCACAGAGTGGGTGGAGAGGAGCTATGGCCCTGCGGACTTCAGCCAGCCTTATCAGGGCCGAGGCAACCATGTGATAATGTGTGAATGAATCAGAAGGGGAACCCGGGGTGTTTCCGCGCTCACAGTAACGCTCGCACTGCATTTCCAGCCAGTTCTCACCCTCCTCTGCTGGGTGTTTACTGGCCGCTTTTCACATGAGCCTCAGAACCACCATCTTACTAATTTGCTAAGAGCAGATGCCCCGTCTGAATTATACTCAGGGACTGCTGTGATGCTAAAATACCCCTTCCAAACCCTCAAACGGCAATGTTTTCTGCTACCAACTTTCTCCTTCTGGCAACGATGGGTTCAGGTCACTCATTCACTCATCG